GGCGGGCGCAACCACCGCGCCCGCTCCGAGACCTCGCTGCTGGGCCGAACCACTCCTCGGGGGTGGAGGAGAGGGAGGCGCTGATCGCCGCACCAAACACGCTGGGAGGGGGCCTTTCCGGGAGATGTGATTCCGATGCGGACCCATGGGTGACTGTAGTTCTGTAAAAGAAAACCTTTCTCGACCAGGGAAATGTAGTAGATAACAAACGCTGTGGTATCTCATCCCACTTTCCCAATTTGGTCGCGTCTTCTTCAGACGGCCGCTTGGGATTCGGGGTAGAGTTGGGTGGGGGATTCTGGGATTTGGAGTTCCAATAGGATTCTGGGACTTGAGGATCCTGGAGTGTGGAATGCGGGGTCGGGGTGGGGGTGTCTCCCTGGGCCCGTTTGTCCCCAGGCTGGGACCTGGGAGCCGTTGGTGTGGACTTTCAGAATTCAGCTTGGGCATCTGACGACCTGGAAAGGATTGGGATTCATCGCGATTAACACTTTGTTCAGGGATGAAATCTTCCTTCCAGTGCCTGTCGAGTGGGTCACATAGTGACCCTGTATGTACATCTAAATTATATAATATCTTCGGAGGGGGACAGAGAAGGGGACTGTGATTACCTAGTTAGTCTAGCCGCTTTCTTGGGAATAATTTAAGATTTGTAACAAATATAATCATGAATGTAAACAAGGCCACCTTTTTTTCCTTCTCAGTCTCCATACCTACTAAATCGATAAACTGCTATTGCACGGGATCCCGGGTGCAAATGAATACTTAGTCAATCAATCAACCAACCCGTTAATGACGGATTGTTCTGCAACAAACCTATTAATGACGGAGTGTTCTACCAACACTGGTTAACCAAGGACTAGGAAGAATCCATCCTCGAGTTTAGTCTCTGACTTTCCTCTGTCTTGCTCTTTTACATAAAATCTAAAATTACAATTAGCATGGATCCAGCCACGGCATCTGTCATGGTACCAATACAGGTTGAAAGAGTTGGAATAATCAAGGGAAACCGGATTTATTATAATGAAACAACTCAGAAATTAGTATGACATCCTTCCATTGTTGCGCACTTGGATTATATACTCTAATAAATCTTCCCATGAAAGACTTGGTATTACGTTGTTGGCAATAAGGGACCTGCATCAGCATGTTAACTATGGATCAATTCAGTGTGCGGTATAAATTAGTGAGTGGTATTTCAGTTGAATTCATGGAAATGTTAGCATGCTAGCAGCAAGTTTGAAAGATTACATAATGCTCTAGAAAGGGGAATTTGCGCGCTTTCATCTCGGGCACCGACATACCACTCAGACTGAGAAAGTACCCGGAAACTTACGACCCTGTGAGCCCGACCACTGCTGCCTTGGCAAGCACCTGCGGCACCTGGAGTCCGACGGAATGCTGGGGACATGCGTCATCACAGGGTCAACTTCGGCAAACACCATCGGGGGACTTTGGAAAAATCCATATAAGGCATTACCACTTAAAGAGGAACCAAAGCTTCTACCCAACTTCAACCTATCTTGATAAATTGTGGCTTGTTCAGTGAGCAGACGGGAACTGCTCCCGTCACCGATGTGTGGCCCCGGCTACTGCAAAGTTCTGGGAAAGGGAAAGCTCCTAAAGAAAGTGAAGGCCAAATTCTTCAGTAGAAGAGCTGAGAAGATTAAGGGTGTTGGATGGGGGTGGGTGGTGGGTGCGCAGGGGTCAGTTTGTCTTAAAGCTATGTGAAATAAATAAATAAATAAATAGATCTTTAAAAAGCTAGGTGGAGGTTTAATTAAATATTTAAGAGTAAAACATTTTTCCCTTTAAAAAAAGGAAGGGAAATTTGTATTATAAGACGAGAAAGAATTTATAGGAAAGTGAAAAGTATGCCATGAAACTTTTTAATTTTCATCCCTAAACCTTGGCGGCTGTGATAATCTTTTATTATTGGCCTTATGGCTTGTCTTAAAGGGGCCATTGTTATTCCCCACTTAGCCATCTACAAGACCAAACTTTCTTCCATCTAGTTGGTTCCAACTCAGTCATACGGTCTGATATGCCAGGAATAACAAATTAAAGAACAATGGCATCGCACTCATCATTAAAATTGACATTTTACTATCTATTCTAAGTCCAATGGTGTCAGTGGTAGGGTACAACTTATTAAAATTTATACATCAACAACTGAAATTGATAAAGCATGCAACCAAGATGCATTGATAATTACTGCTGATTGGAATGTGAAAGTTAGAAACAAAAAAAGAAAGATCAATTTTTGGTAAACATAGCCTTGGAGACAGAAATTATGATGGAAATGCATGATAGAATTTTGCAATACTAATAACCCATTCATTGGAAATGGCTTTTTTCAATAACATGAACTTGTGGCTATATACATGAACCTCACTAGATAGAATACACAGGAGTCAAATTGACTACATCTGTTCAAAGAGACAAAGAAGTTCAATATCACCAGAACAAGGCAAGGGGCAAATCAGTTGCTCATTTGCAAGTTGAAGTGGAACCTGAAAAAAATAAAAAATGAGTCCATGAAAGCCAAAAATATGACCTTAAGTAAAAAACAAAAAAAACCTCATTTCTCTCTGGTTAATTCTGACTCATAGTGATCCCATAGGCCAGAGGAGAACTGCCTCTTTGGGTTTCTGAGGCTGTAAATCTTTCTCCCATGGTGGCTTACGAACTGCTGACCTTGTGGTTAGCAGCCCAGTAAATAGCCCACTACACCACCAGGGCTCCTCAGTGACTTTAAGTATATCCCCCACCTGAGTTTAGAGATCATCTCAAAAAGATTTGACATGACCAAAGCCTAAATTTGTGGTGGGATGACATCAAGAACATCATACATGAAGAAGGCAAAAGATCATTTTAAAAAGACCGGCGCTGACGACCGCCCGGTGATCATGCCTCTCGCAAAGGATCTCCTTCATCCCTCTCCCGAAGAGGAGAAGAAGAAACACAAGAAGAAGCACCTGGTGCAGAGCCCCAATTCCTACTTCATGGATGTCAAATGCCCAGGCTGCTATAAAATCACCACGGTCTTCAGCCATGCACAA